CAACTGTGGCAAATGGATGTTACTCATGTTGCGGAATTTGGAAGGTTAAAATATGTGCATGTATGTATTGATACCTTTTCTCATGCCATGTGGGCCTCTGCTCAAGCTGGAGAAGGTACCAGATATGTCATTCGACATATGTATGCGTGCATAGCGGCTCTAGGAATCCCCACGGAACTTAAGACTGATAATGGATCTGGTTATACCTCACAGCGTTTCCAAAGGTTTTGTATGAATTGGGGTATTTCTCATGTTACTGGTATTGCTCATTCTCCTACAGGTCAAGCTATCATTGAACGAGCTCACGGAGTTCTGAAGTCACTTTTGCAAAAACAGAAAGGGGGAGAAGAGCTAGCCAGTCCACATGACCGACTTGCAAAAGTGTTATATGTGCTGAATTTTTTGCGGTTGACGGGTACTAGAACAGACCCTCCCATTGTTATTCATAACACTTCCTTGCAGTCGGGTCTGGTAAGTCAACAGGTAGTAGTTAAAGTACAGTACAAGGATCCACAAACAGGGGAATGGAAAGGGCCTGCAGAAGTGAAGATGACTGGAAGAGGCTATGCTTGTATCCTAACAGACACAGGTGTTCGATGGATACCGGCTCGATGGATTAAGCCCTGGAAAGCAGTTGATTCTTCAGATCAGGACTAACAGTGCTACAGGCAATGTTTGCACTGTTAGGTGTTGTATATAGCAGTTTTGTCGAGACCCCTGGTGGCCTAGTGGTTAGCGTGCAGGACTTTCACTGCTGCGACCACGGGTTCTAGTCCCCGGTCTCCTGGCCTGATGGAGGTCGTTAGCCCTGTGTGGCCATCCATCTATGAGAAGGACACTCTAAACAAACCTACGTCCTGAGGACCTCACTGCCATTGTCCAAGCTTGCTTGGCCCCGGCAGCTGAACCTTAGGATTAAAGGGTGGGCTCAGTTCAGCGCAGGCTGTGTCTCACCTAAAAAATCCATTGCGCAGGCTGGAAAGGTAAAAAGACCTTTCCCCAAATCTTCGTTCGCGAAGATGGGCCATTATTATTATAGCAGTTTTGTCAGTATCGTTAAGAGTGCATATTAGTATTATCACAGCACAGAATTTTCAGTTTTATTAAAACACAATTTCTTTTAGTATACTCAAACACATAATTATCGAAGATAAAGATTTTAGGTTGTTCACTGCACATTAGTATAAGTAAGTTTAGAGCACAGTGACATGGACCTTAAGAGTATGTTTGGTGAGTGTGTGTTAAGTGGCCACTGTGAAAGTTTGTATGTGTCTATGTGTGTGACTGTGTGATGATTGCTGTGTTCTGATAACCAATACACAAACACTTTTACACTGAATACACAAATACTTTTATATGCACTTTTAGACTGAATAAAGTTTTTTAGAATGCACAAATATTTTTATATTAAAATAAAGGTCACTTTTAGACTGCACACTTTGAGAGCACATATCGTGGCACCAATAGGTTATTAATTTATTAATGATAAAAGTATTATTGTATGTTTGTGTTTGTTGAAATGCTATGGATACAATGAGGAATGTTACAGAAATGCAATTTCAATTGTTCAAATTTGAACGGGGGATTTGTAGCCGTGCAGGAGTTCTGTGAACAATCTGTATTGCATTTCTGAGACCTTTACCTTAGCACAGCTGCGTGCAGATAATAAAAAATACTGCACCACTAATATGGCCGCAGGCCTTGTGCCAAGGTGAAGGAGGAGTTTTCTTGGAAGGTGAACAAGTTTTATGGACACCTGCTGTGGACCAATTAGTCCTGGACAACGCAGTATGTTTTCCTTATGTATCCAATGTATCCCGAGAAGGAATCACATGTCTGTGTGTGTAATTAACAGTATATAAGCTGTCTTCTCTCTAATAAAGCAGACATTTTGCTAACCATATTGGTACAGAGGACCTTGTCCATGCCTCTCCGTCAATAAGTTGCCAGTTAGACTTTATGATCTTAGAGGTCTTTTCTAACCTTAACAATTCTGTGATTCTATGAAATCCAGTTAAATACGCAAAGAATTATTGTTTGAAAGAAATGTTATTTGTGCTAGAAAAACACTGTCTGTTAAACATGAAAAGCCTCTGTATATTAAGACTTCAGGACAGAAATTAGCCACCAGAGGGACCTGTATAATCTGATAAAAAGGGCTGTACAAAGACAAATTGCAGATATGCAAATGAGAGTTTAAGTAATTGCCTATATATAGAAACCTTTATTGTAAATTATTTATAATCTATGAAATAAACCAGCCTTCCTCATTACTTCCGTTCATATTCATTCTTATTTTTACAGATATAAATAAAAGTAAGTAAATTGCTATAAAGTACTATAACTATAGCTAGAATATACTGAAATTATGTAAAATACTTTGTTATACATTATCCTCTTAGGTTTTTTTTATCTCAGAATTCAGTATTTCAGAATGCAACCCACAAATAACACATAAGGGACAAGGTCTATATAGCCCTGGGGATTTTTAAAGTATTTCCTTCAAATAGATTTAGGACTGGAATATTAAGAAACAGTGACAACCGTAAGACATTCTTTGTATATTTGTCCTGTATGCTAAGTCTGTATCATTTTTATATGCTGAATACTTAGATTTATCCGAAAAGCCATTTCCTTCTCTGCTGTCATTAGTAAATTCATACCACAGATAAACTTCTAATATTTGTGCATGAATTAAAGACATTTCTATTCAGAACAGTTCTCAATAGCGGAAAAGTATTTTTCCCTCTCACAATGGATATTTTCATTTCATTCTTAGAAGACTGATACTTCACTTAGCCTTCCGAATCTTTGTAATTGTCAAAGCTATATGATTTTAAATAATAAAATGGATATAATAGAAGCAGTAACAATCATTAAGATCACTAGCAGTCTGTTTCTAGTTTCCTATTTTTGACACTTCAGAATTTGCTGCTGAATTTGTCTATGCTTTCCTCTGCACCATGACTGGTTTACAAAGTTGATATCAATACAATAATTTCACTCCGTAAAAGAAAATTCAAGGTACATACATTTCCACACTAAAAATATAATCTTTCCTTAAAATATTTTGCTGTTAAAATAGTTGCACATTTGAAGAAATTAAATTTACTATAGCAAAAATTTTTATTTGACCCCATGAAATACAACTGGGAATTGAAGAACTCTGTAAAGCAGCAAATAAGTACACAGTGTGTATAACTTCTGCCACTAAATTAGAAAGTGTGATTTTTCTTATAATTACCATGTTGTCTAGTAAAAAACCCACACTAATAATGCGGATGACCTGAAGTGCACAGTACTCTAGGATACATTAGCAAGGGTCTTTGTGACCCAGGGAGTCAGGATCCTAGATGCAACATGGAGATCCTTAGCCATGACATCTCGGCAATAGCTAATCAAAGAAGCCTGAACACTTAATTTTCATATGTCTTTACCCTGACTTCAGATCAACTGAACTCGAACCCCTGAAATTCATACTTTTTCTTTCTTACTCTTTATTGAAAAAATGTAAAATATACAAGAAACATTTGAAAATTATTCCGTGTACAATCTTAACTCAGCCCACTCTTTTATGGGCATTAGTGGATCACAGAGACAATATGAAACAATGTTATATTAAAAACTGGTCAGATTATGTGACCAATACATCTGTTCTTGAACAAGCAGCAGTCACAAGTATTGAGGCCATGTTACTGAGAACACAGCTGTGCTGGGCAGGGCATGTCTCAAGGATGAAGGACCACCGCCTCCCTAAGATCCTGCTTTATGGTGAACTTGCCACCGGCTGCCGCAAGAGACGAGCCCTGAAGAAAAGATACAAGGACTCCCTGAAACAACATCTCAGCCTTGGCCACATTGACCACCATAACTGGTCTACTCTGGCCTCCAATCGGGAGGCCTGGAGACAGACCATCTATAACACTGCTGATGCTTTTGAGAAAGCTCGCAGGATCACCCTTGAGGAGAAAAGACAACGCAGAAAGAACCGTGTCTTGTCGATACCACCTAAGGAGTCTTTCTGCTGTGCCTTTTGCAACCGGACATGCCTATCTTGTATTGGCCTTTTAGTCACCAACGCGCTTGCAACAAATGTGGGTAGAGCCCTTCCCAAATCTTCATTCACGAAGCATAGCCATGATATTAAAAACGCCTTACAGAGGCATTGTATGACACCTAGTAACCATATTTAACAATTTAATATAAATTCTCAAGGTCTATTCTGCCATGTACATCCTTGCTCTGAAGAAAACTTTATGCTTCTTTACTAGAAGGCAAAGATGCTAGCCAAACCTCTCATTGCTCAAAGAAAAACAGTACTGCTGAATTCCTGTACTCGCACACCTAGTGACCATGTACTCATGCCCAAATATTAAAATGAACTTTATATTTTTCCTATAATGTTAAATGCACAGTACTGTGAGACTGTCTTTTTATGTCAGCCCAGCAACATCTTATACACCACACCCAACAAGCAGCACTTTCAGAAAGTACTACTGATTTTGCTGCTTATTAAGGGAAACAATCTACATGAATTTTGACAAGGACAAGTGCAAGGTCCTGCACCTGGGTGGGTGCAATCCCAAGAACAAGTACAGGCTGGATGGAGAATGGATTGAGAGCAGCCCTGGGGAGAAGGACTTGGGGGTGTTGCTTGAGGAAAAGCTTGACATGACCCAGCAATGTGCACTAGCAGCCCAGAAACCAACTGTGTCCTGGGCTGCTGCACTGAAAGCAGTGTGGTCAGCAGGTCGAGAGAGGGGGAACTAAATGATCTTTAAGGTCCCTTCCAACTCAAGCCATTTTAAGGATTCTATGAAATTGTGTTGTTAAAATTGCATTAATCATTTAATATCAAAGCTAATTAATTTTAAGAATTTGAAATTGTAAGTACATTACCACTATAAAACATTAACAAATAGGTTTTGACCTTTTATTAGGAGTGGAGATCTACATTTTTTATATTAACATTTCCTACACACTTTTTTTTTATCTCTTACCAGGTCTTTCCTTGCCAGTTCCTTTTGACTCAGCAAATTTCTGTATTAAACTCTTAACTGTAGTATTTGTCATGTTATCAATAAACTCTTCATGCACCTGCAAAAAAAAAAAAAAGACAACACAGCACACAAAAGGAATTTTAAAACCAGTAATTGAAAGAATGTAATTAACTTTAATAAGTGGTTTTCTCTAGAGTTAGAGTTCAAAATACTTGCCTCCAAAATATATTACAGGGCTTCCAAAAATCTACAGATATTTTATCAAGGAAATCACTTCTTTGCTTTATTGTGTAAGATGCAAATGTGTGTAAGATACAGATACAAATGAGGAATGAAAGAATACAGCTTGATGATGGGTCTAAGATTTACTTCCATTTCTTCTATCTAAACCACTTTTGTAGTCCATAATTTTCTGAATTTGTCAGCAACGTCCCACTACAATGTCAGGAAGACAAGCAGTCTCTTAAGCCAGCACCACTTTAGAGTGTAAACTATTACTCCCGTGTTCTCACAATTCCCACCTGCTTGAGTAAAAACATTACTGTTGTAATGTTTTTTAGTCTGACAAATGAACAACCACATGTTGTTAATAAGGTTTTCCGACAAGGCAGTATGTATATACTTTAGAAATAAATAGTATGACCTTTGCGACCACCATTCATTAGCAGAAAACCTCAAAACCGAGGAAAACAGTGACTGAAATTAAGTATATACAAATAAAACTACATTTCAGAACATCAAAAATTAAGGACTACTTATAAGGATTATTAATTAAACCAACTTGCATCTAGAAAAAAGACAGTATAAAAACTTCTTTCGGTACTGTTACTGAAGGTCTTTTGCTCATTAAAACCAAAGTATATAAAAAATTTGGAAGTTTTCAGACTGATATAATTTCAAGTTTTAGTCAAAGAAAAACACAAGTATCCTGAAATGTGTGAAATAGGTGCTAATTAATATCTAGGGAACAGAATTCCAAATTGTCAAAATATAGTTTTTTCGTTAACACAAAATGTAATGATTATTCAGCCTTATTCTGTAAAATTTGTGGTATTGAACTTATAAATACACCAGGAAGCAATAAAAGATTCAGGTTATGTTGAATTTAGATATAAAAAGAATTGCAATACAATGAACAAAATTAGAGGATAAAAAATTTCAGAGAAACTTGAATAACAAAAGAGAAAACACATATAGAAACATCACAAAAGACCAAAGCAGCAATTTAATAGATGTTTAAATCTCCTTCAAACCTCTCATAAACAAGTTCAATACTCACATAATGTTTGATATCTGTCATAAAAAGAACCATATCTGCTTGAAAGTCTTTTGAATTCTGTAGATCATTTTTGTTTATCTCCTTATACTCATACTAGTTTTAAAATCTACCATCATTTGAAAGATGTGATCCTGTGATTACCACAAACACAGTAAGAAATGTTTCATTTAATAGTTAAGAAAAACATGTAGCATGGTCCAAACAAATGATAGTATAAAAATTACCTCTCCTATTTGCAAATGAATTTCTTTTATGGTATTTGACAATGATTCTATAATCTCTTTCATATGAAGAAGGTGTGTTTCTTCAATGTCTTGAAATTTCTGTAAACCAATACAAACAATTATTCATAATGAAAAGAATTCTTGAAATGCTAAACCTTAAATTTTAAGAAATATACTAAACAGAAAAACACATTTTTTTTTCAGATTTTGATTGTGGTAATTACAGTGCTTAAGAAAGGAAGGTGTAGAATTCACAGTTATGAAATAATGTATTTTATAATAACCTTTTAGAAGCATTATCCAATTTTTTATTTACTCTTTAAACTTTCACCTGTTTTGATTTTTTTAAAGTCTGACTTATTTCTATCAAAATAAAATAGGATTGAAGGATGTTTAAAAAAATAAAACCAACACAACTTTTTTTACGTAACTGAAGAGTTTCAGTTTCTCATCTAACCCCAGAAATTTCTGGATCTGTTTTGCAACTCCTCCTTATCACCCTCTTTTCCTGCTCACAATATACACATGCTTTATGTTTCTTCAGTTAAATCTATATCCTTTGCTTCTTTAAATGCAATTCATTTGTTTGATCTTTAAACTCACTGTATAAAAGCTTTGCAGTTTGTCTGGAATTTGCCCTCCTGTTCAATCTTACTCAGGCTTGCACCTGACACCCGTTTTAAAACCATTTCCAATGTCTCTAATAACCCCTTCCTAGCGAAAGATCAGAACTAAAAATGTCATCTTTCCCAACAGTCAAACATAATCATCTTGAAATCCATGTTTACTCCTGCTCTGTCCTAGTTCTCTTCCTACTTCTGTAACTGTCCAAACTTTGAAGCACCACTCAATCTTTGTTCCAACTTTTTTCCTCAAGTGGTCATCCTTTGTAGCCTATTCTGTGATGTTACTTATTTTACTGACTGCTTGATTACATAAACTATATCATTTTACTTTCAAAGCTATCTATGGTCCATCTCTATAATATCTGCTCTCAATCACTATCAGGGTGTCAACATCTGTACACAATGTGATCATCCAGCCGATTTTCACTACCGTCCTGATTTTGTCTGGGATAGAGTTCATTTTCTTCTCAGTAACTGGTACAGTGCTGTGTTTTGGATTCAATATGAGAATAATGCTGATAACACACTGATGTTTTGTTTGTTGTTGAGCAGTGCAGCTGCACAAGAAGCCATCAGGGAGCACAGCCGGGACAGCTGACCCGAACTGGTCAAAGGGATATAACAATAATAATAATATGGTATGGAATATTTTACTTTTTTCAATTATTAAACTGTTCTTACATCAACCCAGGTTTTACCTTTTTCCGTTTCTCCTCCACATCCCACTGGGGCAGGAGGAGAGAATGAGCAACTGCATGGTACTTAGTTGCTGGCTGGAGTTAAACCACAACAACTATTTAATTTTTACCTAAACTCAAAGTCAAATTCTGAGATTTTGTCAATGCCACTTCCTTTGTGTTTGGTTTGAGCTCCACATAAAACTCTGCAAAATATTCTCCTTTAAACTCTTCTCTGTAGTGTATATCAAAACAGCCAGCCATTCAGAGATTTAAATTTTTTGGTCTCTTATGTCAGTGGATGGCAACCCCCTCTTCTCAAGTGTTTCCTTATTTACCGTTTATTGTTTTATACTTAAGATTTTAAGTCTTTGAAGTAGAAGCCATCTTCGCCTTGCACAATACATAACACAAAGGGGTCTGATCAAAGACTAAAGCTATCTAGGTACTATAATACAACCAGCTATAATTATTAACCAAATTGTTTACTTTCACTTTTGAAAGATCAGTCCATTTTGAATAGATGTACTGAAATGAATCTGTAATGTTACTGACCCAATAAATCCAAGTCAATTCTTAGCATTTTAAGCTACAATAAAAATGAAAAAACATCAACAGGATCTTTATCTATTCAACTCAGCATACACCGTTTAAGTAAGCATTATTCCTTTTTATAAACATGTACATTTTCCTTTAAGTTTTAAAATGTGAAGAATTATTACTCATTCTTGAACTTTATTTATATAAAAACTGCTCAACAGCAAAGTTATCCAGTCAACTGCACTCAGTTCTAGTTAAGATAGGACTTTTAAAGAATAACTTAGCACTTTCAGCTATTTGATTCATTCCAATAACTGACTGCGCTATGTGATTATAAAAAAGCTTCTAAAAAGGTGAAATAACTGACAAATGAGATGTTTTCTTAACAAGTGCATAGCAATTGTACAATACAACTATAGTTTTATTCAGAAAATCTTTCAACATGAAGAATTTCTGTCAAATCCAATATCTGAACAAGAAAGTGAATTATATTTTCCTATGTCTTTAATCATAAAAATCCTTCCATGATTATTGCAGAAAAAAACACATAACTTGCAATTTAGTATTAGGAAGATCATGGTTTTAATTTCAACCTCTCAAAATAATATATCACAAGTTATGTCACTTTTTGATAATAGCAGGTAATATAATAGATTGGAAAAAAGGAAAAATATGTAAAATTTATATAACAGTATTGGTGGAGTTTAAGAAAAGAGGACAGTTCAATGAGGACATTGCTACATGATTACCTAGAATATAGCCCCAAAAATTCAAGGCAATTGCATCCTCAGAAAAATTTTATCTGAATGGTCTAAGACAGATTTAAGTCAACTGGTTTTGCACTGAAACAGCTGAGAATGCTCACACTGCTCATTTATTTTGTGTTCAGAATTAGTATACTTTAAGTGAAATTAAGTAAATTAAGTAAATTAAGATAATCTAGGGTGTGATTGATTGGGACAGGTTGCTAGTGAGGGTCCTCTGCTGCTGACTCTGAGATGTGCTGGCCACACTGGAGCACACTTGAAGTCTTATGGAGACAAGTCAGGGACTCCTGAGGTAACAGAAGCCAACAGGGAAACACTGGGGAAATATCTCAAAGGAATTAAGGTATGTTCCTCTAGGAAGGCGACACAGCTGACAGCCCAGCTGAGGTGCCTTTGCACCAATGCACACGGCATGAGCAACAAGCAGGAGGAGTTGGAAGCCACGTGCTGTTAGAAAGATATGACCTTGTTGCCATTACTGAAACTTGTTGGGACAAATCCCATGACTTGAGTGTGACGATGGATGGCTACGGGCTGTTCAGAAGAGACGGGGAAGGAAGGAGAGGTGGAGAGGTTGCCCTCTACATCAAGAGGTGGATTGAGTGTGACGAGTTGCTCTGAAGAACAGTCATGAGCAGGTGGAAAGCCTGTGGGTAAGAGTGTCCTAGTTACAGGGGCCAGGACCAGTTTATTACTATGTGGGTATAACCAAAACTTGGTGAACTTGCCTCCGGCTGCCGCAAGAGAGGAGCTCCGAAGAAAAGATACAAGGACTCCCTGAAGCAACAACTCAGCCTTGGGCATATTGATCACCATAACTGGTCTACTCTGGCCTCTAACCGGGAGGCCTGGAGACAGACCATTTATAACGCTGCTGATGCTTTTGAGAAGGCACGCAGGATCACTCTTGAGGAGAAAAGACAACGCAGAAAGAATCGAGCCTTGCAGAATATACCATCTAAGGAGTCTTTCTGCTGTGTCTTTTGCAACCGGACTTGCCTTTCCCGTATTGGCCTTTTTAGCCACCAACGCGCTTGCAAGAATAGTGGGTAGAGCCCTTCCCAAATCTTCGTTCGCGAAGCCTAGCCATGATGATGATGATAACCAAAACTGTGTATTCTACACCCTCTATGTCATTTCTGATGGACTGTTAATAATGGATCATTTGCAGCAGCTGCCCAGGGCACACCTAATGACTCAGTTGTGATAACTCCCCTCTGGAGAGGAATTAGCACCTTCACACCCAGCCTGAGGGGTCATCTCTGCTAATGGGCCATACTGGACTGGCATAATAGGCAGCTGCAACACCCATACCATCAAAGACTTCAAAAATATCCCATGACTCACAGAGTTAAATCACCCATTGTGAAACTCCCTGCCCTGGGGGAGGTACTGGACATTCCCACCTGAATTTGAGCATATATATAATCTGTGGGTTTTGGGACTTCTGGTACCACTCATCAGATCGAGAGGAGGACATGAACTCCAACAGGACTGCCACTGCCACTCTTGACAAGACTGCGATCATGACCTCAACAGAACTGCAACCATCACCCAGACCAACAGGTTTTCCTTTCCTCTTACTTTGCACCCAGGTGGGCCACGTGGTGCTCAGCACAGGGGCCAACAAACACCGTTCTGTTCTTGTCCCAGGGGGATGGGTTATACATCTGTTTTTGTGGGTTAAAACCAGTTTTTCTCTGTATCATTGCATCTATTGTAATTTATTTTTAGTAAATTGTAACTCTGACTTATAATCTCTCTAGAGTTGGGTTCATTTTTCCCACTGGTTTACTTTTAAACCAGCACAAAGAGTCAAAGACTGAGGCAACAAAGGGAACCTTGTAATTGGTGTCTACTGCGGGCCACCTGACTAAGGGGAGCCTATTGACAAAGCCTTCTTGCTCCAGATACACGAGGCATTGTGGTTACAGGCTTTTTTCCTGATGGGGGACTTCAACCACCCCAACATCTGCTGGGAAAGTAGTGCAGTGAGCTGTACGCAATTCAGGAGACTCCTGGAATGCATGGAGGATAACTTCTTGAGCCAGGTAATAAGACAACTCTACCAGAGGGGATGAGATACTGGATCTGATGGTTAACAACATACGTGAGTTAATTGGGGGCATCAAGATTGGAGGCAGCCTGGGCTGCAGTGATCATGCACTGGTGGAGTTTGCAGTCCTGAGGGATATGGGTCAGGTAAGGAGTAAAGTTAGGCCCCTGAACTTTAGGAAAGCAGACTTCCAGCTCTTCAGGGAGATAGTCAATAGGATCCCCTGGGACACTGCCCTCAAGGAAAGCAAGTGGAACAGAGCTGGCAGATCTTTAAAGAAGTCTTCCATAGAATACAAGAGCTAGTGATCTCCAGGAGCAAGAAGTCAGGCAAGGAAGGCAAGAGACCGGCATGGCTGAGTAGGTAACTGCTGGCCAAACTAAAGGGAAAGAAGCAAATGCACAGACAGTGGAAACAAGGACAGGTAGCCTGG